ATAGAAATATATTATGTAGTAGAAAATTTGAGCAGAAAAGTAGGATGATCGTAGGATAAGATTTTCTCAAATCTAGCCCCCTAACGTTTACTCTTGATTATCTTATAAAAGCTCGAGACTTCTTATCGTTTCTCGTTAGGCGTTGAAGGGGAATAAAGCTAAAATGGAGGACTAGAAAAGTCAAGGTGTCTTGCTCCTACATTGGCACGAATTTCGGAAACCTACCACTGTAGGTTGGTAGGTAGGACACTTAAGAAATAAGTAGCTCGTTTCCTTTGTAAATGGATTAGGTCACTATTGTCCAGGTTCTCGAAGATAATCCTATGCATGCCGTGTCCCTGATCCAGCAGTCACAGTAGTCGGAGTATAAATCCTTCTCCACTCTAAATGCTAATGACCACAACGCTCGACACTTTTATGTTCTTTTGTGGGATTTTAAAGGAAGAGAGAGAGAGAGAGAAAGAACAAATCGATCCAACCGATAGGAAACTGGCGAACGTATTAAACTTCTCGATACAAAGTATGTACGTATATTTCCGTTATTTCATATTTTTTCTATACATGGTATCGTAAAAAAATGTTACAACACTTTGATTGTTTATTAAGTGTTTATTAGGTATCGTAAAATGTGCCTTCAATGTTTTCAAATGTGGTAATATTTTGAAACTAAAGTAGTAATATAGATTACTAAATGATCGCATAACTTTGGTAATATTAATCGAATTCGGTAGCACTCGCGCGGGGAGAGTCTACAATTTACTGAAACTTTAAAATACGAAAAAACCTTTTTTCCTCGACTCGATATACACGAGCACACATATTTTCTTCTGATTTCTTCTTTCGGACACGAGATTCCCTCAGTTACACCGCGAAAACCTTCTCTTTTATTATTAAAGCATCGATCGACTTTCCCTCCACCGCCCCTCAACCCATTTCCGTAGACTTGCGACGATAGGCAGAGAGATAGAACTTCCTGTTTGTTCGTATACAAGAGTCTATTTGACAGAAAGATAGAATGAGAGAGAGAGAGAGAGAGAGAGAGAGAGAGAGAGAGAGAGAGAGACATAGAGATAGAAAGAGGATTGGGAAGATAGCAGAACTACGTTAAACTTATTACTACGTTCTATAGCTGGTAAGTATGTAGACGGATTTACGTGTTGCACGTTATCCAAAATTGTTTACGAACTTGTTTAGCGAAACATTTGCATAACAACGTTAAGCTTATTATATGCGTTTCCACCCCCGAAACTCTTCCTCATCCCTGTTAAACTCTCAACCCTTCGATAACGCGTCGATGTATCATACCTATAAGCTATCGATTATGATAAATTGAGAAATACTATAACCTCGGTAATTTAATGGAATTTTCTTTAGTTCTATGATACACAATTTTCATTTAGATGAAAAAGATATATCTTTATCGAGTTATTTTAGTTAACGTTTGAGTGTTTATGCGACAGATTCAGGATTGTTTCATCGTTTGGGAGCATTAACGAACCCCAGTGTAACACTTAAATTCACAAGTAAGCGGTATAATCGGATCAGATAACGATACGTTTAATACCAAGGAAGGAATCGTTACGATTTTTATGCGTTCCCTTTAGCTGGCCTCGCTCGCATTGGGATGGAATCGTTGCACAGTGTTGTCCTTTTCCGATAAATTTTCCCACTTTAACACGGGATTGTAATTATACGTCAGGGTTTATAGGACGTTGATATCGTTTATTATCTCGTTTAAAGTTTCTTCTTATACATAACAGTGACACTTAAAATATATTATGACATTACGATATGACTAATCTTTAGGTTTCATATTTCGCTCGCCATTTTAATCAGTTTCTGTTAACAGGGTAATTTTCTTTAAAAATGCAAAAGTAACAATCAGCCTAATTTGCACAAGCATTGAAGCGCGTAAGATGTTATGTTCCTTGTGAGTAGTTATGGGAGAGTAAGCGAGCGAGTATGTGTGCGAGGAAGAGAGCAAGGTGGTATTATAAGGATCGATATTTCTTCAAGTTGAACTGGTGGTATTAGCAAGACCACTGGCGGTTTCTGGATCCTCGTGTAGGATTGGCCATTAGAAGTGAAGATAGTGGCACAAAGCGAAGATAGTTCATTTCACAAAGACCCACCCCACCAACCGAGCAATTCGAAAAGCACGATCGAGAATTTCTTCTCTTTTCCCACCCCCTCCTCATCCTCTCCTCCAGTCAAAGTTCTTAGAACCACAATCAGACTGGTGCCTTGCACTTTTCACATTCTATATAAAACGTTCTTAATTTATTCATTAATTTATTATTTATTTCATTCGAAAAGTTGAAAAGAAATGTTCGTTTTTTCTTTTCTGTTATTTTTTAGCGTATTGAGTAGCAGTATTTCCTTCGTCTTATTTCGATAGTATCTATATTCGGAATTTCCTGTGAATTTCTTCCGAGGAAAGAATTCGGAAGAGCCGAGCGCACCTCTAACGTCACGTCTCTGTCGAATTTCTGTCCTTCAAAAAATTCTTTGCAAGATTCTTAGACGAAGAAATCCTACGTGAAGATATGCGCTTTGCTTTTTATACATACATACAGGGTTACCAAAAAGGTTATGGCCAAACTTTTACTATCTACTACCGAGGGCAAATTGATGAAAAAAAGTTCATATAAATTTACGTCCGAATAATGCTTTATTATACAATTATACGACTAATTGGCAAAAGCAATAACTAGGATGATTGCTTTATAAACAACCGAAATATGAAGTCATAAAGTTGCTCTTACCCCGTAGCGGCTGATTATTTTTGGGTGTCGCTGTACGTACTATGCATATGTAAATGCATAAAGAATGAGAGAGAGAGAGAGAGAGAGAGTGAGATATGAAGAAAAAAGAAAATGAATGAACAAAGTACGAAACGAGTAAAACGTCAACAAGTTCGCGTTCGTTTGTTCAACTTTGGGTTAGAAAATTTACGGCCTTTTAAGTTTGCGATTGCGATATGTTTCGCGGACCCCTTAGCAATAAACAATGAAACGCTATCACGTATGTGCGTGCGTTGTTTCGGAGCGATCGTGTATACTATCGAGAACAAAGTTGTAGGATTTTTTTTTCCTCCCATGGTTTTTCTTCTTTATCCAGATCTCCAACGATTTTAATCGTTATATATTCATAAATTTATGCAGAATATTTTCTAACTGAAATGTGAATAATAATAGGTCATTATTTGTCATGATCATAAACTATAATAAAATTCAGTGTTCGGGTTGTGTTTTTTTTCTCTTTTTTTTTTTTAGGTAACTGCTAACTACCCCCTACCGCTTTTAACGCCACCTTAAAAGTATCATTATTAGCATTTTGTCTGATCAGACGATAGTAGTATCGACTCATCGATGTGATGAATTATGGATAAATTATGGTAAACGACATGAAATTGATTACAAACTCTCTGTTCACTTTTGTTTATAATTATTTATAACTCTAGTGGTATTACAGATAATGTTCGTATTAATCACTCGGTTAATAAGTCGGTTCGAATAAGCGTCGCTTAAAATTGCGTCTCTTCTTTAGATGATGATTAAACAAAAGACTTAAAGGATTTATAAAATAGGTATTCAGATGAAATAGTAGTCGTCTTTTCTTAATAAGCAACGTAATACAATAATTACGTTAATATCTATGGTGATATAATTCAGTAGCAGAGTCTCTTGCAAATTTATCTTAACTCGTGTGAGATCGTACTATGCGAAAGATAACTTTAAACAAAATTGGATGGAAAACGCCTTCAGGAGATGAAGTCTTTCAGGAACAAGAGATAGGCATATATGTGTATGTATGCGAAGCTCGGGATACGAAAGTTGTTACGTGTGGTACCCCTTTTCTTCTAAAATTAATTATACTTTTTAAATCAAGGATAGAGAAATATTAAAGGACCGCGCATAATTAACCGAACTTATTCGCGCTTAATATTCGTGCATTTTCTCTTGGCGAGTTAAACGATAATACATTTTCCAAAAATAGTATTTATTGTAAAAACATGTAGTCTACTGATTATCTTTTTTTCGGAGGAGGGGGGGGGGATAATAAAATTCGTCCGAGTTCAAAGAACAGAACGATGGAAAAAAGATGAAATTTTTGAAAGAAATCTAGGTCAAGGGAAACAAACGATCCTAAGTGTAGTTTATTGGTTGCGAAAAGGAGCTTTATTTTTTCGTAACAATGCATCCATTTCTCTTCATTCGTGCACATCATATCGCGTTGTTTACGAGTTGTATGACTATTATCCAGGTGTCTTACGAATACGACTTACTAACAATAAGAATTTACTTGATTACACAGAGACATATATATATATATATTTAATGATTTACATAAGTGGGCGTATAATAGGTAAATGGTAACAATCATAAAGCAAAACCACGCGCATGATCATGCTGCGTGATAACGAGAATTGTAACGATCTTGTAGCACGGTAGAAAAGAAAAGGGAGCACCTGAAGAGGAAAAAAAAGAAATGGTTAGACAATGCGAAGATGGTATATGTATATCAAGCAGGCAGCAAGTTAGAAGAGTTAGAAAGTCGTTAGTCGTTTTAACAACGGAGATTTTTGATATGTAACGAGTATTGTCGTCGAACGTGTACCGGTGGCGGCATTGCCAGAAACAAAGAGAAAAGTGAACTCTGGCATTGGTGACGTTTGGGGGTAGAGTGGCGGTGGTGGTAGTGGTTGCCTCGCGAGAGATGGAAGAAGGGAAGTTGGCGAGGTGCTGGCGAGGGTGGTTCTGGCGAGGGTGGTTCTGGCGAGGGTGGTGGTGGTGGTGGTGGTGGTGGTGGTAAGAGTCGACGTCGGTGGTCGGGGGCTGGTATCTCGCTAAGCGCTGGCGCAGTTGGATCGGGGTCTCCACCACGGCACCATTTCATCCGGTGGTCTCTTTACGCACCTGTCTCTTTCTCTCCCTCTTTCTATTTCTCTCTCTATCCTCTCTCTTTCCCTAACCCCTCCCCCCCCCCGATAACCCACCCACCACCCTCATTTCCCCCTTATTTCTGTCTTTCTCTTTATCATCCTTAGACTCCAGAAGCTCGCACAGTACGAAGAACGATGAGATAGATCCCCGTGTGACGCGTCTCCCTTGCGATGTTGTCCCGTCTCTATCCAGCCTTCGTCACCTGACTACTCCTCTTCTACTCCTAGTTCAGTATCCCTGAGCCGCGCGTGTACCTTTTATTTGTCGGAGTATGTGCGCGCGCGACTCCCTTCCGAGGAACACCATCGAGTACCGAGACCGTTTAAGATGAAGGAAAACTGACGACTGACGCGCGCGTGTGTGTTTCCTTTACTCTATTTTTCTCTCCCTTTTTCTATCTCTCTCTCTCTCTTTTTGCCTTACTTCGTTTCCTTCCTTTTCTTTTTTTTAATAATCTCGATAGAAATTATTTTTGCGATTAAAGTAAATTTTTTTTTTTTTTTTTTTTTTTTTCATATATTTCGAAAATACGTGCGTGATCGAAAATTAGTGTAGGACCGTGTTAAGGAAAGTTTGGATGAAAGATAAATCTGACCACGTGCCAACGACACACATTAGTCTATCAATTCGATTTCTTTCTTAATGTTGTTATTGTTCTTCTTCTTGTTGTTTCAATGTTTCTTTTATTTTGTCTATCCAAGAGAATGAGTTTTTGTTCAAGAGTCCAGTTTTAATTTGACTCAACAATTTCTCGTTGTTCGTCAATTAGTTCTCGTCAACACAGGACTCCGAATCGTTCTTTTTGAAAAGTACTGAATCAACAAGCTTTGGGCCTCGAAAAAGTTCTCTACCCTAACTGGAAAGATTTGTTAAGACGTCGAGGAAGAAGGGTCAGAGGGTAGAACCTTATTTTCTTCCATCTCTCTCTCTCTCTCTCTCTCTCTCTCTCTCCGTTTTTTACTCGTAGAAAAGAAGATTCTTCTGAAGACTTAATGATCCACGAAAAGAGACCCATATCCGGAGGATTTCTCGATTCTACGCGCGATGGATTGAAAATCAGTGAAAATGTTGCAAAATAAATACGTTTTGAAAAGTGTAACACGAGTAACGATTGAAATTACCAATCTACAATCGTTCATATTTCAAATCAACAGGCTGTAATAAGTCTGACTGTTGTTATAGCTGGGCACAATGGGTGTTGTCATTTGTTCGATATCATCATCGGTAACATCCAATTGTATCGATACAAACTGGACTAATATCCAGTTTGCTGTGAGTTACCACCACCAGGACTAACGGATATCGATGAATATAAAGAACGGGGAAGGGGAAATTACTGCACACGCGTGTATCTATTTTTGTTGAAATATAAAGAAAACAAGAACAACTGTTATTTCGTTTTGTACTCTTTGCTATATCGTATTCGTTCGTTTCCCGTTGTTGCATTTTGTTTGCCGTCCATTATTTGTTTTCAGATCGAGAACGACAATTTTGCGAGGATACCTAATGGATGATGCCAACGCGTATAAGCAAATGTACATAGTGACCGTTTTTGTTTCATCGTCACGAATGAAAAACATCGAAATTTCTATTGGTGATTTTCGATTCAGCCGATTTTTACTAAAGTAAAATTCAATTTTACGTAGCGCTTTATTCAAAAACGCCGGTAGCATGTTTCCTTTGTGCAAGATATCTATATTTTGCGCGTGCGCGTATTCGCGTGTGTGCGTTTTATTTGATTTTCTTTTAAATGAACAAAATATTCATCATCGTTTCTCTTTCCTTTCGACTATGCAAAACTAATTTAGTTTTTTACCTAACTCGTTTGATTGATTTCATCGATAATACGAGATATCGATATCTCGGTGTATATTTTGTCGAGTTGTTGATATTTCATTCTATGACTTTTTCATCGCAGCGAAAAAAGTATTTTTGTGAAAGAAGCCCACCCCCAGCCCCTCTCTCTTGTTCTTCTTCTTCCGTAAAACTTTAATCTCTATTTTTGGAAGCAAGCTTTTATCTTGCCCCCTTGACGTGTGGCACGAATTTAAAAAGGAGATTTGTTTCTCCAACGTTTCCAAAGGGAAAAGGATAAAATCCTCGACACGCATGCACGCATTAAGCTTAATCATAAGCCTCTGCCGGCGTCCAACCTATTTCTCGACGTCCTCGCTTAATTGCAACGAGAAAAACCACAGCGTCGAGAGATGCTTTTATATATATATATATATATATACCTCTTTATTCTCACTTTTTTTCTATATATACGCGTTTCTCTGTGTTTTTTCTCTCCGCGCGTATCCTACGTTTTCTCTAGTGGAACAAAATGGAAGGAAAAATAAATAGAAGCAGCTCGTCAATTGCCGCGTTGGATTTTTTTTTCTGCTTAAGTTTTACCTGCACTGCACAATTTTATAATCAAAATGAAAAAAAAGAACTAACTAAATCGAAGATTACTTATTTTATTATTCGAATCATTTTTCTTCATTTCCTCTTGATTTATTTGCGAAAAAGAGAGAGAGAGAGAGAGAGAGAGAGAGAGAGAGAGAGAAAGAGAAAGAGAGAAGAACGATTCGAACGGTTGATTATGTTTTATTCTTATAAGAAGAAAAAGAAAAAGAAAAAAGAAGCCGACGGATGACCGATAGGGTGAAAGTTCCGGAGGGAAGGTGACGAGTGTTGAAAAACTTTTTCAAGGGTGAGAAGGGTCATCGAGAGTGCAAGATTCCTTATCGAAAGATACATCGAGGAAAAGCGTACTGTGTACTTTGTACCGTGTACGGTGTACCGTGTACCGTGTACCGTGTACCGTGTACCGTGTACCGTGTACCGTGTACGAAGAAAATTCTTCCATTCGTCAAGTTACACGGTTTTCAAGGGAATATCGTGAAATGTACCGGAAACGATGGACCGTAAAAGCACTGCGAATGGATTTACAATGTAACACCGTGGGTAATGGTACGAGCGCCTCCCTCAGGATGATCTGCGTTTTCATATTTTGGATGCTACTCTATGGTGAGCGATTTATGTACCTTTCTTTTTTTTTTATATCTCCTGAGCAAGGATTTTCGTTAATCTATGCTCAACTGTGTTTAATTAGTTACGTTTGAAAGATATCCTAAACTTATAGTCAAAATATTGCAATAGTTTTATTATTCGTTTGACACACAAACATCTTTTGCTTGAAAAATATCATTTACTCGAGGTTATCGTCATAAACGAAACTTATTATTCAAATCCCCGACAATTAGTATAACATACTTTTAATAATTCCACGAGACACATTTAAATACACATAATATTCTAATATTTGAAGCTATTATTATATCCGTAAGAATCTAAACAACGTTTTGAGTGATACGAATCGGGAACGGAGAGTTACGTGCGTCACGAGTACCTACCTCGTATAATTTCTATAAAAATTCCGTCAGTCAGGTGACGTATTAGTACACTACAAAGCAACGAGTAAAAAAAGAAGAAAAAATGAAAGGGAAAAAAAAAGAAAATCAAGAGAAAAGGTAGGAGGAGGGGTAGGGAGGGGGGAGAGGAAAATGTGAAACTGGAGAACAAAAGGGTAGTTATACACACGCATGTTCGCGAACACAGGTGTGTGTGCGTAAAATACATATGCTGGTTTATACGCTAGAGAGGAAAACGAGCATAGAAAAGAGGGAAAAAGAAATAAAAACAAGAGAAAGGGTGGGAGGGAGAAGAAGTAGGATGATCCGAGGAATTCACAAATGCTGTCGCGGTTGACTAACATCGTCGATGCGCTTACGTGGCTTTTAAACTCCAATCCGATAGAAAGTTTCAAGTCCAGTACGTGAAATTAGAACGAGAACCATCAATTCTACTACGTTCTTCTACGTTCGCGTTTCATTTAAATGCCATTTTAATTTCAACGAGAAATCAAAGTTTAAACTTACATATCATAATGCATATGTTAATCCTCCTTGTAACCGAAATTTTTTTTGTTTTCCTTTTTTTTTTCTTTTGGTTTTTTGTGAATGGAAAAATGTTTCGGACGTTTTCCCCCGTTTTACATAGAATACTGTTGGATTATAAGAGAGAAATGTGATAGAGGCTTTATTTAAAATATTTAAATACAAAGTTGAAATTGAAATGATTAAGTAAATGAAAAAAAAAAATACAAAATGTTGTTAGTGTTTCTAATGTAGTGTATCAAAAATAAAAAAGAAAATAGTTGTCCGTATAATTTTGTATTCGTCTAATCGAGTCTAAAGGAAAATCATAGGCAAAATTGTATGTACACGCGTGCTCTTCGTATGCAATGATAAATTTGCATCATCGGTCGGATGGTGAACTAACGTCGACTCAGCCGCGAAATGTGGTTTTCGGTGCATGACGTTGACCGTTGCTCTCCAAGCGACAGGATTTTCGGTTTATAAATGTCGATATATCGAGCTACGCGTGTTCCCACTCCGTTATTACCGTGCATAGTTTGGCTACGTCACTCATTATACCGTTGACAATTTGCGTTCATATAATCGACACATACGTAAATTACGACCATACGATTATTTAACTTTATCATAGATTTTACGTACGCGAGAGCTCCTAGTTTTCATTTTCGTTTTACCTCCAACGCATTAAAGTCCTTAATGATTATAAATGACTTTTCATTATTACTGCATATGCGAAGAACGTCCAATATATGAAGGTATTTCATAGTAATTGCTATTAATTATCGGCTCCACAAATGATTTTTCGGTAATATAAATTATCAAATTCAGACCCTGATTATAAATGACGCGAAAATATTAAACGAGAAGGTGGAAGAAAATACGAGACGATCTTCTAAGTCTAACATAGAAACGCATCGTATTGTCTGAAGAAGAAGAAGAAGAAGAAGAAGGAAAAGGAAAAGAAGGAAAAGGAAAAGGAAAAGACATTAGCTGAAAGTTGAGTGTAAAAGGAGAGAGAAGGATGAGATAAAACTATATATAAAAGCCTAGGATATCTCACAGGTGCTACGTGTTATTTAGTGTTCCGGGTTATAAACGCGAATGCAGTTGGATAGTGTGGCATACCGTTGGCATAATATTCCGCCGCGAGACAAGCTGTTCGAAGAACGTCCTTTATAACTTTGCCCCTTCTGTCCTCGTTCCCGTTATCCCCTTTTTTTTTCTTCCTCCTCTTCGGTATTTTCATTTTCATGCTCCGACGCGATATGTTGAAATTTGATCTTACAATTATTTATTTCAAGAGCATTTATAACAATTGTTCATGTAAACGTTCATTGTTCACGTAAAAAAAAACATATGTAGATATGGAAAAATTCCTTGCCACGATGAAAATGTTTGAAAATGTTTCAAATATTCTGCTTAGATTTCGAAATAATAGCGTCCGACGATCCATAAATTCGTCCGAACGTCAATATTTACATTGGACATGTACATAATAGACGTTTAATCGCGCGTTCGGTTATTTCCCCAAGCCTTGCATTCGCATTCTCGTCGAATTTACGGGTTCGAGGGATTGTTCGGTACAAGATTACTCAACGATTGGACTTCCATTAAATGGAATGAATTTAAATATCGATTTCGCGGTTAGCAGCTCTCGGCAAGCTCGCGTAATGTTGCCGCCGCGTTCAGATCCTTTTTCCTAATTTCTTTCTATTGTCCAACTATATTATCACTTTGGAGTTAGCCAAGCACCCCACCCACGCAGCCCCTTTTTCATCCCCTTTTTCATCCCCTTTAGCACGAAGAAATTCAAGAATGCTTTACATCGATTCGCACTATCTGACTTCCGGCTGAACGCTTTCCCAAGCCGGATGGATGCGAGCTTCTTCTACTTTCAAGGAAATCTCCTTGAAAATACAATAACCCTTCTGAGATCGTTCCATGTTTATCGGCCCATTATCTTCACTAATTTTAACTTTAACGATATTTTACATCGAAATGTCATCTACTTTAGGAGATAAACACGATCCAACGATAAATTTTTACCAACGTTTGACTATTAATAATATGTCATATAAAATAGGAATACAATTGCTAACTTTATCTTCCGAAATACCATAGTCAGTTTTTGTTTTATGAAAAACTGACTCGGGATGAAAGTATATTACTCGCGCGAATTCGAATTTCTTGCCACGGTCATTTTTTAAACAAGTTTTCATTTGAAATAAATCTACGATATGTTTCTTTAGATAAATTGGTACCTTCTCAATGAAACATTTTATAAACTTTCTGCTAGATTCTGTATAATCTGTATATCAGGAATACTGATATACTCGCGTATCAGGTTTGTTTATTCTACATTCCGGAAGCATTTCAGCCTACGTGCTCGCGCGACTTCGTGTTACAGCTTCAATATTTGTCGTTCAAAATTAGATTTGTTTAACGGCGTAAAATCGTAGTACATCAAGGTTTCCCTTCCTAAGGCACGCGAGCAAAGACGAAGTTGAGTTTACGCGATAACGTTACGGTTTCCCTTTGATGTTTTATGCCGATATCGCAAATATGAGCACGTATGCATTATTTGATACGTAATGTATACATGTGCATACATACATACGCACGCATGAGAAATCAAAAAATGTATACAAAATCGCGGAGAATCTTTTTGGTTATTCTTAGAATAGATTCTCCTTCTTATCGAATTTTCTTTGTTCCCTATTGTTAAACTTTTGATCGGATCGGAGAGATTATTTCGAAATAACGCCTACGATAATATATATATATATACTTCGAATGTAGTTCTCTTGTAAAAGAAAGAAAGAGAAGGCAAAAGAGAGGATGAAAGAAAAGCGTTGAGACTTTTAGAGAGACGTCTCGGAGAGAGAAACTTTTAGCTTTCAACTCGACTATTGCTGTTCAAAAAATGCAAACTTTTATTCCATCCTTATTCTCACGAGAATCTGATATGTATTCTGACAACTTGGAGCGAGTTTAGCGCGTGTTCTACATACAAGGTGTGTTGTGACCGTTGCTGCACTACTAAAGTTCATAAAGTCAAATTTTGTCGTAAAATATGTTTTAACTAATAAATGGGGAAAATATCGAATCTCTCGCGGTAGGAACTGTTTTTCCTTACTTTTAATCAATATTTTTCATTCGAATAAACCGAAAAAGGGGAAACATCGAATTCATTTTGTTATTATTACCGTTTGGCTAGATAGTCAACAAGACGACAGATTGATTATCCTTTAAGCCAGTTAATTAATCGAAGCCGTTCGCTAATTTTAATACACCAACTTCGTTCTAAGAACTTCGACCAGCCGAAATTCGGAAGAGAAATAAATCTTCTCCGAAGCCGTCAATCATTTATTCGATCGATTATTTCTATTATAATAGCGTGCCTAATTTATATTATTTTGCAATAATCTATCTTAGAAGAAAATACGTATATTCTGTTGCTACGAAGATGTAACTTTTTTCTCGTAAGAGGATCTCGAGTTACACACTAGAGCAATACCCTTATCGGGTTGCTACGTCATTCAACGACTGAAAAGATGGCAACATGTTTTTCCGAAGGTATTGTGTCGCGATGATAGCAAGAAACCCGAAGGAACGAACAATGAACCATAACCAATAACGAACAATTCGCGTCAACAGTTTGAGAATAATAGTTTTCTATGTTCATCAAAATCAAATTAATGAATTGTACTTTGACGTACGTTTTTCATTCCCATAATTGGAATATGAATTTAAAAATCCTTTTTATATCGTTCGTAGAAGAATTAACATTTGCTGCACCGGGAACGTGCATCTTCCTTCTGAATCCATTTTGCAAGTTGTTCGTTTAGATCTTGCGCGTCCACACACAATTTACCTATTAGCAAAAGATTTTGTTGCACGACAGTGTTTCGCTTTTAAAAGGGACCAAAGTCGATTGGAAATGATCGTTAAACGAATCGAGTATTTTCGGATGTATCGGTAACAACACTGAGGGAGGGTAGGCCGAGTCGGTTAAATTCGAATCGAGAAACGTAACGACCCCGTTGGAGAAGAGCCAAAGCAAAGTGCCGTATACACGTACTTTTTTCA